TAAATGTCTTTGTTCAAGAAAAGATGAAAATGACCATAGTACTAAACTTGAAAGAAGTGTATTAATGAATCTAACTTGTGATCCTAGAGTTGGATAGCTTTGAGATTGAAGTTCAATCAGAAGTTGTACTTAATTGATAAATCCTCAAAATTTGGATCTTGTACCATCAAACTTCTCCACCAAAACAACTCTTGGTTCTCAAACACTTGAATGATTTTCCACAATAGGTGGAGGGATATGATTTGGTGCAGATGTTCAAGCAGCTCTAATCATCTCTATATCCTCACTTCCTACCATTCTTGTTGATCCTTCTCATGGTAAGTTAAGTTGATGCATTGCAAGTATCAACTCCTTCAATTGCTCTTGCATTTGTGCCATTGCACTCTTCATTTCAACAAGCTCTGCCATAATAACACTCAAAAAAATATCTAATACTACTCAAGATAAGTAGAAGAGAGGACTTGAGGACAAAGAAATTACTAAGAACATTATCAATTTAGAAGAGGGTAATCCACAACTTCTAATATGCTTATGTCTTATCATGAAAAAGAAGTAATTGTCAAGGACATGAATCTCGAAGAAAGAGAATCTTCAATATACTCTTCTATCACTGAAGAGAACAAGAAAGTCACTCAAAAGGTGATGTAATATTAAGTAGAATGGCTATTGTTAAAAATAAGAAGACTAGAAAGTCTCGAAACAAAGCTAAGACTAGAAAGGCATTGACAAAAGTGAAGAAGGCTTCACTCTTGCCTCCATATATACTATCTAATTAAGAGCTACGTGGTGATGTCCTATAGGACCTCCAACATGTGTTTACTTTGCTAGCCACATGTCCTATCTTACAAGGCAAGTTATCTATGTATGTGCCACATAGTTAGCTTGTTCCACAAGCTACTACACGGAGATAACTTGTTTCACAAGCTACTAATACATGATTAGCTTTTTGGCCAAGTTTCTAACCTACAAACACATCTAAAGTCAAAATTACATCTATGAAGCTTCTAAAAAGCTTTTCTAGAAGACTTTATGAAATTATTCTATATTTACATACTTCTACTTAATCATATAAGTAACTATTGAGGTAAATGTATATGTCCATGACAGTAATCCACTCTTAATTAAAGTAAAACAAAGCTCTGATATTGTAAGTGTACTCTTGTCAATATGTCAAGGATATGAACTAAAAGATGTTACATAAACCAATGAAATCTGTGTCAAAGAAAAAATAACAAAATAAAAATAAAGAAATATGTATATTAAAAAAAATTAAAATGGCTTATTGTCAAAAGACAAGGAAACTTGAGACTCTTGAAATAAGACTAGAAGCAAGAAAGGAGTTGACAAGAGTAAAGAGAGCTTCAATCTTGTTTATATATATACTATTTAACTAGGGATTACATGGCAATGTTCTATAGGACCTCCAATATGTGTTGACTTTGTAGGACACATGCTTTGACTTACAAGGTAAGTTTTTCTATATGTAGGCTATATAGTTAGCTTGGTCTTCAAGCTAACAACATGTGTGGCATATGGCCAACTTATTGATCACTTTTCCAAACGAAAAAGTCAATTATAGACACCTATAAAATCAAAATAGTATCTATGAAGCTTCTATAAAAGATATTATAGAATTGATTTATTTTTATCTACTTCTACTTACTTCTATCTATTTATAGAGGTAATTATTGGCTTACATGTGTATATCCATGACAATGACTTTTGAGAGTAATAAGTTGAGTGGAAGCTAATTTAGATGGCTAATACATCAAAAGGAATTATTTGAAGTAATACATTGCTAAAAGCTTGGAGATACTACTTGGAAAGTAGGAAAACCAAAGTGTATACTAATAATATTCTTCTTAAGTATTTAATTTCAAAAGTTCAAGCCTCAGCGAAGGAGTTAAGATGATATGATGTGATAATATCAACAAATATTTAACTTATTCACAAAGTAGACAAAGACAACTTGGTGCTAGATATTTTAAGTAGAAGAGAAGAATTAATGGAAAAAAAACTCCGTGATACTATAACACTAAAAACAATAATATATTTTTATGATGATTCTCCACTCATAAAAGGCATTAAAAGAAATTATGAATAAGATAAAGATGTACTTGAAATAAGAAAAGGATTTGCTTAAATCAAAACTACAAGAAAATAGAGAAAATTTATAAGAATCTCTTCTATAAGAGATGGACTTATTTGGTTAAAGCAAAATAAACTCTATGTACTAAAAGGCAAGTGGAAAAGAAAAGTAATGTTTGAAGTACATGATTCTCTATATAAAAAATATAAAGGTATAAAGACCATACTTAAAGATGTAATAAAATCCTAAATCTTAAACCTTTTGTAAAAAAAGATATAAATCAATATATAAGAAGTTGTTTGATGTCTCAAAGAAACAAATTCTCCAAATAATCAAAAGTAGGACTTTTGGACCTATTACCAATTTTATTTCTATCTTACAAAGATGTCTCAATAGATTTTATAATTAATTTAATAAAGTGTAGTGAAGTCAATTCTATATTAGTGATTGTTGATAGATTTAGCAAGACTGCTAGGTTTATATTAGTGACTATGTTTTTAAATGATTCCAAAAAAGAAATAAAAATTATGTCAAAAATGATAGCAAGTTTTTTTATTTTATTATTGAATCCCTTTGTATGGAGTGCCAACCTCAATTATGAGTGATGAAACTATTGCTAACTTCTATCAATTATGAGAGATGAGGGTTACAATCTATTGTGACAATAAAATGTATATATATATATATATATATATATATATATAGATACACATATATATATATGAATTAAAGTATGGTGAACCTTAATAACACCAGATGGACAAAGACATGTCAGTCAAAGATACTACTTGGAAAAAAAGTCAAAAAAAAAAAAAAAAAAATCTGAAAGACCAAGGTTGAAGAAGTTTTTAAAAGATAAAAGATTTGAAAGGATTCCAATCTAAGGAGACTTTATAGAGAAAAACCTTAAAAAGTTTGTATGTGGCATATACAAGATTCTAAGCAATCAAGCTTAAATGGTTGGCTTTTCCTAAATGGATTTCTCATTCGATAATTGCTAGTCACTTTTATGTGGTAGGGAAGGATACTAAAGTGAAGTGGATTTTAATTAACGAATTCAACAACCATGGCAAAAATTAAGTGAAGATGCAAGTCCTCATGATTCATAGAATGAAATGAGAACTTTCAAACCAAAGAATTGAGAGAACTTGAAAAAGTTGAAGGCATGAAAGAAGTTGCATAAGAAACACAAAAAGGGAGGAGCTTCTTGACTCAAAAAGCCATAAAGAAAACCTCAACTTCTAAAGAAAAAAGAATAAAATTTAAGATAGGTAGGAAGGAGCCTTTAAGCTACTTAGGAAGAAAAGAATGTAGTCCAAGATATGTCCTAGAAAAAAAAAAATCTAAAAAAATTAATCTCAAGCAAAAATGTCATATTGTATAGCAATAAAGACATTGATTCTTCAAAGTAGAAGGTGTGAGGTCAAAAAGTTCAACCCTTTTACTTATTAAATATTTTACAAAAGAAAAAGAGATTAACAAACTGTGAGCTAAGACACCTCCAATGCCCATAGGAGTATTACAATGAGGTGGCAATGGAAAGGTTGAAAGGGCCACCTTCTTCACCCCAAAGTTCACATTATGTGGAAGCACCATGTGAAGTGAGGGATATTGAGACTTGGAGATGGGTCCCAGATACTTTAAAAGGAGGCCCTATGACCTCTCTCCTTTAGGGTCTAAAAAGTGCAATTCAGACTTAAGTTGAGAGTCGGGACTTATCCTTAAGTATTTAAGATCACTAGAAGATGATCTCCAAATGTTGACAACAAAAGATCACGCCACAAAGCAAAGTCACAATGCATCCCAACACATCCCTACTCAAAGTAGCAACGTGACACAGAACCATGGCACAATTGGATCTCAACGTGGACCGAATTTTGTTCGGTCCATGACGCTACTAGATCCTGACTTAAACCTAATTTGGTTAAAGACCGAGGCGAACTTGGTGGGACTGTTTTGGAATTGTTTTAAGACTAAAGTAACTCTATTTTATTGGGTGTTTTTAGAAGTGAAAGGAGATCAAAGTGAGGCAAAGTTACAATACCCTTGATCAATGCTTCAATCCTCTATTATGTTCCTTGCTAGCTCTAGGGCAGAGAAAAAATTTGAAACATCGACTACATGCTCTAAATCCATAGACCTAGCTTGCTGGTCAAGTCTTTCGCCATGCCCAGCTTCTGCCTTTCTTTTACTAGGAGGTTTAACTATATCGGTAGCATAAACCTTTCTTATTGCTGAAAGGTGAACACCAGATCACCCTAATAAGAATACCAGCAACTTAGAAAGAGCAGATCTAGGGCTAATTTTCAAAATATAGACATAAAAATAAATCACAAATCTGTAGTCGAACATGCAAATTTGAATCCATAAGATCGTCAACCTATATCATATGAGTTCGGTGTTAGAAGTTCACAATAAGTTTCAATATCACATCAACAGAAGTATCACAAAAAGGGCAGCGTAAAAGAATGCACCTTTACAGGCCGCTGCCACAGAATCGACCTACCTCACATGCACCTCACATGCACCTCACATGCTGCCTGGTGAAGTAGAGAAGTACTGATGGATCCTCGCAACTAATTCCAAGACAATTGCTTGTAGCTCCTAAAATAGCGCTTAGAAAACTTCTAGAGCATTCTACCTAGCCCGTTAGAAACACTGGCACATGCCACATCTCTTGTGAATGGCATACAAGGTGCACATGACTGTAGACCTTGACTTTCACTCAGAAGCATACTTTCATGTGCACAAACGAGACAGATTCAGAACAGACTGATGAGCAACACAATCAAGGCATAATCGTTATAATTTCATCAGAGGATATGCAAAACGCATGTAATCAAAAAAACCAACACCCCAGCATCCATAAGCAACCGTAGAAAGAAGTCATTCAACACGCAAAGAGACGTCGAAGAAACTAAAAGGTTACATGTTTATTTCAAAAAGTACCTGTAAGGCTAGTTGGTTTCTAAATAGATACTACAACCAGATCCCTTCCCTCGAAAACATCCAATTCAGTCCACGAAAAAGGGCACTGATAAGTGGCCAACTGAGTGTTACAAATGCGGGTCGCTCAAGGATCCATCGATTGAGTCAGAAAAACCTCAGAGAACATGAAAAAATCAGCACAAATCTTCATGCAATAGAACCCAATAAAACCCTGAAAAGAAGAAAAAAAACGTCTGGAGGACCTGATACCAAACCCTAAAATTCCCCAATTCACTTCTGGTACCCGTCCCCAGGTTCGTCCGTCATGGTGTACGCCTTTCCCATCACATAATGCGTCTTGCTTCCTGGAGTCGGAGGCAACCCCTGAAGCTCTGCGGCCAACGCCACTGGGTCCATCTCCTGCACCGTCGTCTTGACGCTCCGCTTCCTGTCCCGCGTGTGGTACTTGATATCGAACACATGAGCTGGCTCCGCATGAGGAATCGCCGGCCGCACGGTCACGGTGGCGGGCGCGATTTTCCTGTAATCGGACGCGTCGGGCACCGATTCTAAGAACTCCGAGGTCGCAGTTGGGCCCGTGATCGCCCATGGCTTAGCCACCCTCTCCAACAACGACTTCGCAGTCCCGACAACGTCCTTGGGGACCAGCTTGGTCACCTTCCCAGCCACATCCTTCACCTTGCTCGCCATCTCTTGCTTGCGCTGACGACGATTGCAACCCCGACGCAACACAACCCAACACACACGCGCGACTGAATCGAATCGAATGCAGATCGAGAGGGAGTGGCGAGACATCAAAGCACTTCGCAGCTCGACGAGCCTTCGACGGTGGGGTGGTCTCGCCATGCCCGTGTGAACGCGCTGATTGATCACGTCGGATGCAGGATAGATGAGAATAGTCGATGAATGAAACTCGTCGTGCAATCAAACCCATGTTGCAAGAACATCACATTAGGGTAGATGAGAGCGACTGATTTACATTATAAATATATAAATCATGTATGTATGTATGTATGTATGTATGTTTGTAATTCGAAAATCTTAAAAATTATACAAACTTTTAATTAATATTTATGTATTTTAATGTTAATATTAGAAGATTTAGATGTATTTTACTTAAATAACAAATAAGATCTTTTTTGGATCATTTTTCTTTATTTACTCTACAATATTATAAAAGATATCCATAGAAATTATTTCCTTCCTTATTTTATTTTTTATACAAAGAATGTATAAATTATAATTGCAACTAATTTCTTGCATTATTTAAAGTCATTTTAAAAAACTTCTTATGATTTGGTGGCATATATTAAGTACTACAAGATATTTATTAAATATATGCTCAAATAAATCTCAGCCCTAAAACCACAAATATCATCTATACAAAACAACTAATAATTAATTCTAATTTTAAAGAATGTCTAATAGTAGATCCCAATATTATCTTAAACCACAAGATATATTAATTTTTCAAGTTATACAAGCCATATTCTCACTATCCATTAAACATTGAGAGAATTCGTTTTGTATATAGAGTTTTTTGAAACACTCTTAAATGAAATCTTTAAAATATTACACTCTTTTATTGCAAATTAACTTGCATTGTTTACAAACTTGGTGACTAACAACAATGAGCAAGATTCTATTGCACAGTATTGTATCCATTTCTTTTGAGAGCAATTTTAGCAAGCTACATAAAATCACACAAAAAAATAATAAATAAACTATGTACTTTCTATAGATTCGTGAGCAAAGACATCCTTGTATATAATGTCAATGCATAGAAGTTGTCATTGTATGGTAGATATCTTAATAAAATGATGCAAAATCATCATCAACAACTACTAGCATAAGTTGTTAATCCAATAGACTAAATTATCTTCAAGAGGAGCAATAAATTGTTCTTAAAATTGTAAAATCAATGCCATCTATTGTAAGTGCATAGAAGATAGCTCAAGAAGCTTTTCTCAATGATACAACACTCTTATCTATTATATTAAACAACTTGTATATAAGATAAAGACATAAAAAACCTCTTCATTGATTAAACATGTACATGAACAAAGAAATGGATAAATGTGCCAAAGATTGCAATGCCCAATTGCACAAGTTTCTGCTAGTTTGTCTACATAGCATGGGCTTGTTTGTGGAAAAAAAGAATTGGCCTCTCAACATTCATAGAACTTAAACCATTTAATACTACTTGTGGAAGCAAACACAACTGAATTAGGTCTTGTAAGGTAGACAATTCATTTTCAATAACTTCAACATTTGCATTTTGCAGTAAGTGTAAAAATAAAAATAAAAATAAAAATACATGTATGTAAGGAAATAGATGTGAGGAGGATTCCAAGTGTTTTCACACAATTTGCCACAAAAATAATATTTATATAAATGTTTTAGTTGAAGATTTGCTTCAACCTGTTTCTGACATATAGATCAACCTAATTCCAATTAGTAATGGGTTACAAAACCAAAAATCCAACTTTTACAAAATTGAGAAGTATGGCACCTAATTATACTATTATTCCATCCCAACTAATTGACAATTGCCACCTATTGATAGCCCACCCTATGTGTGTGGACTTTCGGGGGTGGTAGACAGTGGATTGGCTACCACCAAAGGAAACCAAAGGAATGGTAGCGAGTTTTTTTATAACTTCAGATTTCAATGGGGCACAAACACATATGTGACAGTACAAAAACATAATTCACAATGTTATCAAACAACATATCTGGTAGGTTGCTAATCAGTACGTTAGTTCTATTTTAGAAATGAAGCGGTCCAGACGTTAGGGTTTAAGGAGAATGACGAAGATACTGAAGGGTCCAAATCTCTCTTCCAAACACACAAAACTCCGGTGAATTCATGTGCATGCTCTTCTTCAAACTCTTCCTCTTCACACCCAACCTCCATTATCGTAAAATTCATAATCAGAGCAAGCACAACAGAACGAGCTGAAGGATGTGGTTGTGCGAAGAGAAATGACGAAATGATGCTGTGAACACACAGGGCGAGGATGAGATTGAGATTCTCGGAGACAAATTCACTCAACGGCATTCATCCCGTCGTGTCGTTTCCCGGAGCTTCGTTTCTTGGATTTTCAAGTGATGGAGCACATGATCTCCTGAAACCCTCGAGTGAGTTAGCAATTGTGGTTGTGATTAGAGCTTCATTGCAAATTTGCTCTGCTTTTTGTCCTGTTTTTCAAAGTAGCACACAGATCTTGTTAATGTTTACCGAGGGAGTATGATGTGGTTCGGAACTGAAGTGAAATTATCTTCGCAATGACCATCCCGAGCAGAAGTCTGAAGCCGCTGGTGACGCTGAAGGAGAATTCCTTGAGTAGTTACTACTCCAAATAATCCGGCCTCAGCTTCTTCCTAGTTTTAAAAAATGCGTTCTAGCAGTATGAAGAATGAATTGTAGGTTGCGGAAGTGTTGAGTTAGTGTTTTTTTTTTTTTTTTTTTTTTTTTTTTTTTTCTCTATGCACCCTACGTCTTACGATTCGCAGTGGGAAGAAGTTTTTCTTGACAGAAGCTTCAATCCACACTTTGTGTTCCTGTTCCCTTTGCACATATCGCTGAAACGTTGGCCGCGATGTTGGCAGTAGCGCCCTTGTTTTGTCCGCCCCTAAGTACATCATCACTTAAACGTTGCGTTTCTGTTGATAGTCGACCGAATGCTCAAACGCGTGAATCTAAAGGTTTAGGGTTTAAGTCTCAACCTCAAATTAGTTGCTTAATTGCCAAAATTCCGTTCGCTAGGGTTAGTGCTTATCAAACTCAGCATGGATATTTTTTCAATATTAGACCATGGAGTCCATCTTCCAATGGCCGAAGGAGCGTGCGTACGTCTGTCGTGTGTGAAACTCAGAAGAACGAAGACGAGAACGTTACTAGAGCCAGAGGTGATCAACTGCGCAGCTGGATTCTCAACAGTGCGAGAAAGCGACAGGAGTCACTGGGAGAGAGAATTATGAGGATGGTGGCCGGAGCAAGCTCAGCGCCAATTGCACAATATATTCCTTTTCCCGTGACTCCCTTGCATACCCTAGACCCACGCGTTAAACAGGTTAGCTGTTTCTCCAACCATCTTCGCCACACGTAAAGAGGAATTCCCTTTTACAGGCAGATACAAGATGCAGAATGGTATATGCATTGCATCTCTTAAGGCAGTCCACTCTCCAAATGTCTTCTATCAAGTCTCTTAACATAGGTGTGGTATCTGATGAATTTCTGAGTCTATCAAGGTTTTCCAATGGGCACAGTGCGGGTGGGAATCAGGCTTGGCTTTTGGCTCTCGTCGTGCTTCCTGCTCGATCACACATGGCGATTCGGATTTCCATGGTTGCTTTCCTGGCCGTAGCAACTATGTGCACGCTTCCTCGGCGAATTTGGCAGGTACATCTCTATGCAAACTTAAAATGGACATTATGGTCTTAATTTAAGTTGCCTGGTCTCCTCAAGCTTACTGGGGAACGGGTTGGAAATGTTGACAGGACCAACTAGGCCGCATGGCTGCACTCTCGGGATTCCTTTTCGTTATGCTTGCTTTGGGAACTGATGGAGTAGCTCCTGTGATGCAATCTCGGAGGCCTTTGATCGCGTCACAAGGCTTACCAAAACTCCCTGCTGCATTAAGTGGGTATAAATATGTGCTTCTTAAGTTAGGCCCCTTCCAGCTTACACGAAAGGGCGTATCCCTGGCTGCTGCAGCGTCATGTCTGTCCTTCACTGTAAGTTGCGCATCATCTTACAACTCTTTGAGACCACGTTACTAGTAGCGAATCAATACGTGTGATTTGGCATTTACTTTCAATCGGTAATCAGTCGGTAATTAGCTGATGCATACAATTTTAGCATCTGCTGGTTGGTTTAAACATGTGAGTAATCCTTCTAACTTTCTGTCAAAATAGGTACTTCAAAGTGCGAGTCTTTGCTTAACAACGACTACACCGGAGCAGCTTGCTGCAGCGCTGCGGTGGTACTTGGCACCGTTCGCTCGATTAGGTGCACCCGTGGAGGAGCTCATACTTACACTTCTTCTGTCACTACGCTTCATTGGTATCGTTTTTGATGAGGTAGTGTATAACCTTGACTGCGTTCCGCATCAGTTCAGGAAAAAAATACCTACTTTACACGAAAGCATATGAGATGTAAATGAAAGCCTTAAACTTGTTGGTGCCCATGATTACCGTGTGTTGTGAACATGGACATAATTTTTCCGTCAGGACAAGGGTATGTATTACGAAAATTCGAATCAGATCGACCAAGTCATGGCAATCAAATAAACTCAAGTTTGCAATTACTTTGTCTTTTTAGTCCTTCTAAATCACTCTCGGTAATCCAGTCAAGCACCGCAATTGTTTTCTCACAAAGATTTGTCTGTGTAGGTACGAAACCTTGCTGTTGGAGTTGTGGCTAGAAGCATCGAGTGGAAGTCATTGCGGCTGTTAGAAACAGCTGACAGTAAGTTCGCTTCTTTGAAATAGTTAATGCAACGATTGTGAACAAACTCGGATTTCTTTCGAGAATTCTCGAAATATTTTTTTATATCCACGCGATTCTGAAGGTCTACCTATTAGATGAACTTCATGCTCTTTCTGAATCTCTAATGACATGTTATCTGATAATTTGATGTTGTGGATGTCGTAACAATGTATTTGAAAGATTTTTTCATTAATTTAATTTTTTAAATTTCTGGTTGCAGTATTTTTTAATCTCATCGGTCGAATTTTCAAGAACTTGTTCCTTCATGCTGATCAAATATCTCAGGTTCGAATCTTATCAGAGTTAAATAGGATGAATAATTCACAGGTACTGTTGAGTATTGTTTATGTTTTGTGCTGGGCATTTTGTTAGCTTTATCTGTATCGGGGATTTTATTTATTTATTTATGTACTTTGTCCACAGGCAATGGTTGCTCGGGGTTATCGTGGTAATCCAGTCAAGCACCGCATTTACTTTCTCACAAAGCTGTCCATTAAGCCGCAGGACTGGATTGCGATTTCAGGCTTACTGATCTTAACGGCTTTCTCTATGTATCTTGAGATCACGCTACCTGCCTGATATGCCTTGCAGCATATAATAAATCCTGTTGATTCTGAAAGTTCACATCCTTCATCATCTGATTTCTATAGTCTTTAACGTTGTCTGGTCCAACGTGTACCGGTGTACGACCCCTCGCCATATGTGTCAATCATACCAAACCACAATATCTCAATGTGATTAAGTTTACCAGTCCATATGAATAATGTACATGAATAGGTTCTATTTCGGAATCCATTTTGTTGGTACTGTTGGCAAATCGTGTGTGATCTCATGTAACATTGACATACATCATCTTAGATACATTTTAGTGCAGAACATTGAAGACTTCACGCCTCGCTAGCTTGGAAAGTTTATCAGATGGCAGAGCGTCAGACTAAAGGTACTGAGGTACATCCGATTACGATGTAGAAACCAGGACGACACCGACTCAAACCAACGAATTTCTTTCTTCGGAACTGGCCCTACATTTCAACACTTGAACGAACGATGCGTGGAAGATGTGGTAATTGCACCAAATCAACTGCAGTTCTGGGGGCGAAATTTCCGTGCCGTATTGACATCCTCACGTCAATTACAAAGCTCCAGCTCTGCCCACATCGGGCGAAACAGAACCCGAACAACGCAGTGAACTCGTTCAAAACCCATTGGTCAAGAACTACGCCCAAGAGTGTGGACGACATGCTCCATCCAACGCCATCCCCCGGCAATCCAAAGCAAGTCTATCTTAATGAATGGATCCCCATCTACCAACCACCGCCGCGTGTACCGCACCTTATCGGTTGGGCGAAACCCCACCCATTCCAATTGCATCGCAATTCACGATTCCATCCGCAGCCCGCCTTATTCGTCCTACTACAAGCACTAGAGCAAACCCCGCTCTTCTCCCGCCTGTGCACTGCCGGTCCCGACTGCAATCCTGTAATTCTAGGCACAGGGTAGCGAGAATTCGAGCTAGCAATGGCGGCCGCAGCTATGACTAGGGCCGGGGGACTCCTCGCCATGGAGCGCGTGCAGCGCGTGAGCAAGACGACGGGCGCCGTAAGCAATAGGACATTTTTGGGTAACGTGAGGGGTCTGCGCGCCACCTCTGCTCCGCAGGCACTGCGAGTGAAGGTCATGGCTGTCAGGGCTGGAGCTGAGAAGTACCAGGTGATCGAGCCCCTCAACGGCGACCCTTTCATCGGTGGGTTCGAGACGCCCGTCACCAGCAGCCCGCTTATCGCATGGTACCTGTCGAATTTGCCCGCATACCGCACTGCGGTTGCGCCATTGCTTAGGGGAGTTGAGATCGGCCTCGCTCACGGATACCTCCTGGTGGGTCCTTTTGTTTTGGCCGGACCTTTGAGAAACTCTGCCGTCAGGGGCGAAGCCGGAAGTCTTGCCGCTGCAGGTCTTGTGACGATTCTCACCATGTGCTTGACGATCTACGGCATTGCCTCTTTTAAGGAAGGAGAAGCCTCCAAGGCGCCGAGCCTGACCTTGACTGGAAGGCAAAAGGAGGCCGACAAGCTTCAAACCGCCGAGGGATGGGCGAGCTTCACCGGGGGTTGGTTCTTCGGTGGATTGTCGGGTGTGGCCTGGGCATATTTCTTGCTCTATGTAATCAACCTCCCATATCCCGTGAAATAGATTCGTGGATAGTCTTGCCTTAGGCAAAACCACAATTGTAAACTGGTTCTATTTCTCTCCTGAGGCAGAGCATTTTGCTTCCTGTTTATACAAATCCTCTTGCCTGTGCGTCTCCATATCTGAGCTCTTCTAGTGCTGTTCTTTGTCCACTTTTGGTGAATTTTGTAACCGTCCTGAATTCTGTGAACTGCGGACGACGGTGTCATTCAAATCTCGCCTCACTCATCAACAAATCTTAGGGTGAAACTCTACTTGTAAGAATTTATGACTCGACCTCCGACATCGCAGGCCCTCCTTCTCAGTTGACCCTAACCTCAATTGCCTCTGAGTTGTACCAATGCACAGTTACCGTTCTCAAGTTAGTAAAGAAAAATAGGAAAAGATCTTTGCAAATATATATTACAACAATTAGAAAATCTTTACACTATATTAATATATTTATCTACAAATTGACAATATTTCCACAACCCCAATTTTTAATCTCTTTTCACAGATGAATGGCCAATTTGAAATACTTCTTTGAGTAACAACTTTTGTAAACAACATTCAGTATTTGACCAAAAGGAACCTTATCCCTTAAATGATTGCATAATAGTGAAGCAAAATCTCTTCATTATCTACCAACTTTCAGCCGTGGCATTTTTTTTTTTCATTCGTCGTTAATACATATACAGTAGAAAAAGCGTTTGTTATTGTGAGAATTTTTTTAGAATATTTTCTATACAATCTTCGTCTGTTTCTTTCTCTATCCTTTCAATTTGCTCTTAGTTGTGCGATTAATTACGAATATTGGGAATGATTTGGTGTGGTATACGGAAGTGAAATGGTTTTTTTTTTGTTAATGTAGTTGAAGGAGATGTAATGATTACAGTGTTGCTCATCATAGTATAAAAATGGACAGGTGTAATAATAGTAGGTGACAGAAGAGTAATGATGCAGATTATTTTGATAATAATTTTTTTATTTTGATACAAATTGTGGAATGGAGTAGGAATGAAGATAAAATTTTGTTAAACTATAAAAGGCACTGTTTTTCCAGAGGATTTTGTACTTTCATTTTGTTGCATCCCGGTGTGATCGGGGAGGAAGACATGAAAAAATTCCCTGTTCTTTCGATCATAGAGATTGCTATCTGGACAGTTAATGGAACTCGCAACATGTCTCAGTTAGGCGTTATTTTGCAATGGTCCAACACGGATGTGCTTTTGATTGTACTAGTATTGAGTTAAGATGCCAAAGTACATTACAAAACATCCCTTTGCAAGACTCGGTTTCCAACGAGGGAATATGAAATTGCAATCACTGAAGGAACCAGGGAACAGGCCATGAAGTTACAGGGAAATTAGAGTAATTAAATTCAGGGTAGAGAAATTCTTCACCCTACTCTATTAAGGTCGACGGATATGTAGTTATGTACAGACGCAATAATAGGACTACGAACACTTAACCGCTCAATGCAGATGTGTTGTAGACCAGAAGGGCTCCAGTCACGAGCAGTCCACCGAGAAGAAGGGCCCAGATGGCAAGAGCGGGCGTTCCTACACACAAATTCCACGTCAAACCACTGAACTGTAATCCATATTACAACCAAAAACAAGTAAATACTAGAGAAGCCAAAAACCTCATCCTGCGCAAAGGCAATTCCAGTGCAGAGACACATCATCCCCCTCACCCATGAGACTTCAGGGTGCACTCTCCGCTTACAATTGTGCTAGGAACTTTGTTGCCACCTTGAATCGAATAAGAGTTGCACTGAGACTAGTAGCTCGAGAAACATCACTCACCTCCTGCGTAGCTGTCGCCTCCAGCGCTCCACTCCTCCCTGGCGTAGATCGGGCTGTATCCATCCACATTAGCACCGTACTTGTCGACGAATTGGTACACGCCCTTGCCCTTCAAGACACGGCCGCCGGCATCAACGCCCTTCTTGTTTTTGAAGTCTCCAGAGGGACCTGCATAGCAGAAGATGAGATAGTTTAATCTCACCGAATTGTGAGCCACACATTACATCATGTCCAACACTCGCCCCTTAACCTTAAACTTCAGAGCACATGCCATGCGCGCAAGATTCTCTAACAACATACAATCCTTGAAAGAGCACCTATCCACGCCAACCAAGTGCATAACACGCTGTGCAACACCTCTTCCTACTACCTTCTGCGCCCTAATGTTCCACTGAACATTACGAAAAACCCGTTCATCCTCAAATTTCACGAGCCGGCGACGGGTTACTCACCCAAAGGCTGAGCAACCTTGAGCTTCTTGGTGCTGGCGGTCACAGACAAGGGACGAGCGGACCTGGACACCCTCAAGGCAGGCACTCCCTGCACAGCAGCACCGGAAAATGAGGACCTCTCCATGGCGGAGGGTGCAACAGTAGGGACTGCCTTCATCGCAGACACAGCGGTAGCAGCCATTGCAAAGGAAGTTCAGGGACCGATAAATCGATGCCTACAAGAAAAATTGTGTGCAGTGCTCGGGAGATCTCGCCTCTCTCTATTTGATATGGGCTCCCCTGGTGCTTGAGTGGGCCGGTGCAACAGATCCGTGCTTCGTCCCCGCAAGCGATTGGACAGTTTCGGATCTTCGGCCAATCCACTCCGACGGATCTCGGTTGATTTATCTCCACGCTCGCCATAGCCCCAGTTGCCCAGGTTGCTTTTCGAAGACCGCGGCGACGCTCTTGGACCACACAAATATATGTGCGGCCCCCGACGCGGCTGCAGCTTATCCACAGACGCACTGCAGCCTGTGGTTTTGTCCCCGAGTTTGCCGTTCACTCATGCTTGTCACACGCTCTCTTGTCGAAAATAGGGATTGCGAGTTATGACGTTTTGGCGTTTTCCCTTTCCCGTATCAGCATCAGCTTTACGATTGTTTTGTTTGAAAAGGAATATGCTGTATTGGTTTCATCGATGGGGTGATCGAGCCGGTGATCGATCGTCATCTTTCGGCCGTTGCCGAGTGATTGAAAAACTCGTGCTCAAGTGTTAAGAGGTTGGAGGTAACGAGGGTTTGTGTATATTTTAGCGGGCCAAGAGTTTGGTTAAAGAATTGGTGTTATTAAGTGTTGTGATCAGAAAACTTCGTGGATCTCGAGTTTTCGTTTGCTTGTGGGAGCTACATGCTTCTGATAGCCTTGCTGTCTGCGTTTGGACCCAGCTGGGTGATTTAGAAGCGCTGTGTCAGCGATAGTAGTTATAATCATCGAAAAGTCGGCAACCTCTGCAATTGGACTTTATTAGAGTGTACATCGATCCGTGGGGGAGCGATTAGAATTGATTTCGATTTTGAACACTAATATCAACTGGTACTAACTGGAACATTTCCCTATAGCTATATGTAATGCTAGGGTAGTATAACCGTCCAGATTAGGGACAATATCAATGTTGGCACCGACGTATGATTCCTTTGACCACGGATGTCTCAACAAAAGCATTCTGTGTTACAGCCAGAAAAAGGACTTTCAGCAACATAACGTGAGGTTTTACTCCTAACAAACATGCCCTTCGTGTTCACAATTTCTAACTCGTGACTTATTCCTCATTCTTCACAACTTCCTGCATCAAAATTAAGAAGCTTTGCTGTACTGTAAGTCTCTGCTTTAGTCATTGCTTTTCTAATAGCATTCTACTGCTTACATACACAGAGAACACAAATTGTTAATGGAGTAATATGGAAAACACGAGAAAAATAAGTCTATCACAATCAGTATTAAAACCACAACGTCAATGCTTGTCGTTTACTGACTTAACGCTGGACCTGCACAGAAGTCCCTGCCAATGACACAACCCTTTTCCCCCAGGGGACATCCAAGTCTTTTAAGCTTCAATCCGCTTTTCAGTCTCAAGCTTTTTCCAGGTATCATAGCAAGCTCCACTTTGTTGAAGGCGACCAAAGTTTAGAAGCCGGGTTGAATTGGCCTCAAGAACCCCTCACCATCGTCTCTCCTGTAGCCACACATTCCCACTATGCCCAGCGCGTTTCAGCCAGAGCCCCTTCAAACTCGGTTGGAGTTTTTTCAACTTTATTTCATGCGCTATTGACAGGGGGTTGCTTCTTCTCCATTTCCATGCTGCAACGGATGTCAATATTGGAGGCGGGATACAGCTTCGTGTCGGTGCTAGGTCCAATTCAAAAGGCGTAGGAATAGAATGGCCAATCCCTTCTCCAATTAGTAAGGTGAGTATATAATCTCCACATGGGCTACAAATTCTGTTGTTGGTCAATACTCTAAGCTGTAACTTCCACAGGATCATTGATATCACATATGCACATTTACACATGTATTTTAATTGCTGGTTTCCCGGCTTAGCTATTGAAGATGAAGTATCAGTAGTAAATTGCACATGAGGATATCGACTGCTGAGAGACTACAAGAGACGTTCCAACGGCATACTGGCGCTCAGCTAGATATTTCGAATTAGAATTAAATATGTGACCAAGCTCCCGCCTAGAATAACCATCTTTTAATATTGTAGTCTGTTGCTAAGCTCTCGCTTTCGTCCTTGTTGAGGACAACCTGCCAGTACAGTCACAGGGCGTCAAGTGGGCGTAGAATTGATTAGTATACTATTAAGTAGCTCTAGGCTGATTCAAGCTGGGATTCTGTATTGACGGCTCTCGTGTTTTCTGTTAAGTAAAAGCTCGGATACCTAATTGGCGTGCATCGTAAGACATTGGCAGGATATATACTAGTGTCAGGTCTTGTATTTGGTATCTATATCAGCTAAATCAGTGTTCCTTACAAAGAAGTACAGAAAATCTTCAGAGATACCATGACCCGCTGGCCCAGCGTACCTCTACCAAGATTAAGTGTCGTCAAACCATTTACAGGACTAATGCAGTGAAGACCGCGCTATCTGACTCGTTACTCGACCCATTTCATAATGGATTCGACACCTCGGTTGTTGGTCGAGAATTTGAAAAGTCATCACTGGTTACCATTTGTAGCCGCCACAAACCATGACTCGTCATGCGTTGGCACTAGTTATTGAGAGTTTTCAAAGCACAACGACTGATGAAGGTCGAACAACTTCTGTAGTAACACCAACATGTAAAACAATATGCCAGTTACCTAGGTCCGAGAAAGAGGATCCTCTTCTGTCACGAGCGACTGAAGAGTAAGTATTGTTGGGGAGCTGCAGGCCTATTGGTTCTGGCCGTTGTTGCCGTCAGAGCTCCACATCCCCCCTGCTCCTAGGGCCGAAAAAGCGCTCTCAGCAAACCACATTACGGAGAATTGAGAAGAACATGAAATAAGTGATGAGATCGACTGAATATATCTCGTTCAGAATTTGAATAGGCAAAACACGCCAAAATTTGTGTCTCAGTTGCATTAAGAAAGGGTTCTTTCTGCAAAAACTTCCTCTGGAAGAATGGAGTAACGATGACTGTCTGCAACATAAGCTCCATCTTCGGATGAATTTTTTGACACTTACTGAATGCAGTGAACCTCCTACACGCCGGATGGTATTTACACTAATTCATGTCGCATGACCCAACTTGCTAACAATCACATGTGAGGCCCTCGGCTCCCAAACGCGCTGATGAATAAAGTAAGATGAAGAAAATGGCTTCAAAATCAACGTACCGAGAAAACGGATTCACCTGCTCGCAAAAAACGCACGCGAAATTCGGTGCGACAGAGCCCTTGCGATCGTGGCACCCTGACAGCTTGAAACTTTTTCCATACCCCTGAAAGAAATGCAGCCAACTATTACATACGCATTATCCCGCAAATATGCCCTCCCTCCTTGATAAGATCAACATAGCAGACTCGGCAGACCATAAGCCGAGCGCTTGAGCTAACTACCTCCCGCCCCAGCGAAACGCACTGTAGCGCCTATCGACCGAAACCATATATCCAAAAACACCAAGAATTTCTTCAACACAAAGCTCCAATTGAAGCATCCAGTACGAACCATGAAAACCCTAAGTTGCGCACCGAAAACATCCAGTGCATGCATTTGAAATAAAGACAACGGGACAACACCCAGACGTTCAATTCAGTAGCAGCATTAGACTACGTTGCAAAACATGCAGCCCCACGACACTAAGGGATGATCACCCAGTTTCAACAGTTACGGATTCGGAATCCTACACGTTGTTCATAGTGCGACGAAGCAAATCAATTAGGGCTCCCCCACACAGTCACGCGCGGAATCCAACAAATCAATAAATCTCGGCCCCTGAGAATAATATGCTTCCGTGCAGATTCCTTCAATGCATCGATCCGCGCTCCAGCTGTTCCAGAATCGTCAAGGAACTGGATCTCTTCTGTAGACATTCGGAACAACGTTCATGTTAAAGTTGGACTTTAGTGGGAAAAGTAGAAAGTGGGGGATGAGAGGTTGTGTGTGTGCCGGATGCGGAACTGGGTGGAGGAGACGGACGGGCATGGGTGTACCCGGCAGCAAGGGGACAACGAGACTAGGGAGCCTTATTTGCGGGGAGATGCATTTGCTGAAGACTTTTTGTGCATTACGGCATGCTCCCAAGCTGCTGCTGCTCCAAGTTTTGGCCTAACTCGTACTTTTACATACATTTTGACATCGTGCATCTTTGGATGATCGTTTGGCCATAGCTGGATACTTCTGCCCCACGCCCACCGTGTATGCTGCCCATGTGGGAACTGGGTGCAATTCGATTGGAGCATCTGAATGTGGATTAATTTTGTTAGGGATTGATCCTACTTCCAATTACTCGGAATTCCGACTGCAGGGGGTGTGCGTTTGAAGGTGAAGCTTGAGGCGTTGTGATATTGATGGCTGGTAGGAGTTTATCATGCGCGCGCCCGATTGGTCTAGTTTGTTTGGAATCTGCCATGGGGAGACGATGCCGAGAGGGTAGAATTTGAGTTCTGGAAGTTGATGTTATTTCTGTCTGGGATCGATTACTGGTTGCGTTTCGGTGCGTTAAGAGCGGTGTTGCTTTGCTTTTTCATCTGGGATAATTTTCACGGTTGTGGATTTGTGGTCTTGGGGAGGGGGTTGCGTGGTGAATTTTTGTTGCGTGGTGGAGACGGTAGTTTGGTTGGAGCAGCTCAAGGATCCGCTTGCTGGGATTAGGCCATGAATACCGCCAGATAACAGGAGAGGGCGAAGCTTTGCAGCAGCGATAGAGAATTGATTGGATGGGATTTGAATGGGTCGATTAGACATGAGTAGATTGGTTCGAAGCCGGAAGAACACGACCACGAACCAGCATGCCGCCATACAGGGGTAACGCTCTTTTGCTTTTAGAAACCATCTTATATATAAATAAATATATATTTTGGGGCACTCTGTTGTGCTGCTGCCGACTTGCTGGATGGTGGATTTTAATTGAGTCTGCGTTTGAAGCCGGATAGGTTTAAATGCTCTCTCTCATTAATTTTGTTAGGAAATTCAGAGTCGTGCAAGCTGGGGTTTCCTCTCCTGTTCATTCAGTAATGTATCGGTTCCTGTTACGATCGTAGCTGTTGCAGTTGTGGCAGCAGAATCCAATCTCGTTGTTGTTATTGTTGTTGTTGTTGTATTGGGCGTCCTTGTGATCTCTTCTTCAAATTTCAATTAGCACATCTCTTAGATGAATGAGCTGGAGACTTGCGGTGAGAATTGTTAGGGTTTTGCCTTGGATCTTGTCAAATTTTCCCTCGGAATGTTGTTCATGTCGGATAGATTATCATAATCTGTAACCTTTTTAAAGTGGTGTTCAAATGGTTGTGGGTTCCAAAATCTTGATCTCTAATTTCTCTCATCTCAGTTTGGACAGACATCTTTGATACATGGGCTGGAGCAGACACCCAACTCTCTGATTAGGTCGATTGAGACAGGATGTGAGAGTCACGAGGGGTTTCGGATGATAACTGACTTAACTGTGCTGATGTTTTTACTCTATTTCCTGGATTTTGTAGACGAATTCACGCAAGTCAATGTATCACAAAAGATGATGTCGTCCAGCTGTTTCACATCAACAAAACACCATGCCAGGGATGTCGAGCCAATTCTAAGGACAATCCCAACTGTTTCTGTTGCTTTGTCCCGCCATCCAATGGCGTCCGGAAGCAGGGATTGTGGCAAAAGGTGGCCAACTCGGTCACTGAGCTTGGACCTGACCCGGGCGAAGCGCTGAGGCCTTCTCAAGACTCTCCATCTGGGCTTACCAACCTCGGAGCTACATGCTACGTGAATAGCGTTCTGCAATGCTTGTACATGACTAGGTATAATTTATCTAATTCACTTCGTCCTAATCACTTCACTTGTTTATTCGTTATCTGTGTTGTACATCCTCGGTTGTTTTATAATTTTTACTGAATCTCCGTCTGCAACGGATCTCGGGTATTCCACGTAAACCTCATCAGCTGATTAATTATTTTTTCTGTGAACAGAGCATTTAGGACAGGTGTTTTTGCAGCAGAGATGGAATTGGTGAGATCTCATCCAGTGCTTTACCAGCTTGGCTTGCTGTTTGCTCAGCTCCATTCCGGTAAAAAGATAGCAGTGGACTCCGCTCCATTTGCAAGCACTCTTGAGCTCGACAATGCCGTCCAGCAGGATGGTCAAGAGTTTATGAAGCTGTTGCTCTCGCTTCTTGAGAGCGTGCTTGGGATGTCTCAGAATGTGCGAGCTCGGAACGTTGTACAAAACGTTTTCCGAGGAACTTATTCATATGTTATCACGTGAGCATCTTGTACTTCTCGTTGGTCTCAGCACAATGCAAACTGCAAACGAATCGTGTCGTTCTGGTGATAGATAGATGTTGCGTCATCTTAAGTTTCTTTTGGTAGAATTTGTGTTCTCTTCTTTATTTATCTGTGTGGTACGTTCTCAGCTATTTTTTCCGCATTCTCGCCAGTCTCTGTGGCATGGTTATTTCGGAATGCACCACAATAACAGGTTGGTTCTGGATATTTTACATGAAGGTGTTCGAAGTGCGGGCAAGAGTCGGATCTTTCTAAGCAGGCGGTTGACTTCTACGAGCTGGAATTGAATGTTAAGGGTTTCACCAGCTTGGAGGAGAGTATGAATGACTATCTAAGTGAAGAAATATTACAGGGTGAAAATCAATGGATGTGTGAGAGCTGTAAAACGCGTGTCGATGCCACTCACTGTACCAAGCTTCGTTCATTGCCACCGGTATTGAATTTTCAGCTCAAGCGCTTTGTATTCAATACGAAGGTACGAATCTGACACGTATTGTGTGTACTTTTTGAGGAATCACATTTTGGGCTTCATTTAGTTTGATTTTCATTGTAATTTAAAAGAATATAGTTGGAAATCAGTAACGTGTTTTTCTTTCTTGATGCAGACCTCAACCAAGAAGAAAGTGACCTCCAAGTTTAGCTTTCCCAGGACGATTGATATGGGTCCTTGCTTAAGTACGTATGCTGATATTGAAAGCAGAGCCGTGTACGACTTATCTGCCATACTCGTTCACAAAGGAAGCATGGCCAATAGCGGTCATTATGTTGCACATATCAAAGATGACCGCACTAGTGAATGGTGGCAGTTTGATGATGAACAAGTAACAAGTCTTGGTTTTCATCCTCTTGGAGAGGCCACATCTCAATCTGCAGCTTCAAAAGATGCTGTCACACAGGAAGGTAGGGTCTTTTTGAACAAACTTTTTCATCTTTAAGACTTTGCTAAACTCCTTAGATAGCTTCAAGGCTCTTCATTTTGGACGCTGTCAAAACTTGATGCGGATGACCATCTTGCGAATCTTAACTTGCTAATGTTTTTCAGACATGCTTCTCAATGTGTATGCAGATGCAAGTGGCAGGGATCAACCTCTTCAAGCAATTGTTAGTGAAGCCTCAGGTTCTGTTGACGCTTCATCACGATCGCACTCTGAATCTGAGATTTTGACTTCAGCAGATGCCTACATGTTGATGTACATCCGCAGGGCTGATGCTGAAAATGATAAGCTAGCAGTTTTTGCTGTTGGCGAACCTTCACCAATGGAGGTTGAGGGAGACCGACGGATTGATGACTGCGCTGGTTTACCAGAGCAGCTTCGTTTGGAGATTGATCAGATGAACAATGATTTTGAAGCAATGTGCTCAGAATACACACGTCGGCGTGAAGAAGAATTGACAAGGATTGGCGAGCGAAAGGAAGAAGTCCGGTCTATCTTGGCTCTAGCGACTGCTAAAGCACTTGAAGAACCCTTTTTCTGGATTTCAACGGAGTGGCTGCGATCATGGGCTGATAGTTTGACACCTCCGTGAGTTTTTAACTCCTGTCTTTGGTATTCAGAAGTTTTTCTTGAATGTTTGAAGCTTAGAGACAGTGAGTTCAACTGAAGTAAGCATCTGTTATTGACAGATTGCACGTTGGATTGTGAATGCTGAGGTGTCCTAAACGCAGATTCTTAATGAGTAATATCTTTAGGCAGCTTGTTTTTTTTCTAGTGTGATGTGTGTTGCAAGAGTCTGATTGAGGGTAGTTTGCAATGCAGGGCTTCTATTGATAATTCACCTCTGCTCTGTCCACATCAGAAAGTAAGCCCAAAGAGTTTGCCCGTCATGAAGCGCATTTCTGCAAAAGCGTGGAAGCAGCTGGAAGCCTTGGTTTGTGCTTCTGACGATCAGTATTCAGAATAGTCTCTTAACTTAATTCAAATAGAAACATAAACCTAAACATCATTAAATGATGTATACTGTCTCTTGTTGGATTGTCCTGTCTGAGCAAGTCCTTCATTCTGTGGAATTGTCTGTCAATTACTTTTAAGTAACGATTTTTTGTATTTTGTTTCACTTGGCTTGGATTCTTACTGTCTCTTTTACTTTATACATAGTGGTATCGTGTGCGAGGCATTCCTTTTTGAATAAATCTATGGTTCAGTGAGCTCCGCAATAAGTATTTATGTCTTCCAAAATCGCAGTACAAAGGAGGACCTGCAATATCTGGAGACGACTACTGTGTTGAGTGTATTTTTGAGGACGCCAGAGCAGCTGCCTCTGCAGATACTTACCGTGATCAAAGGATGTATATGCGAGAGGTCATTGAAGATGTTTTAAACGGCCGTGGCCTTGACGACAAGACTTACTTGGTGTCTAAAACTTGGTTTGCTTCTATCCACTGTTTTCCAGTGCAATTTTGTGGCAAGGACTTGCAAGTTGATTAGTTTCGTTTAATTTGGATTATATTGCTTTTGACCGAGGTGGCCAACAATAATGAATATTCAGGACTTCAAAATACTGTAAGAATGATTCTTTTGAGCTGTTGAACTTGCATAGGCTGCAACAATGGGTGCGGCGGAAAGTTGCAGATGCACCTTCAGACGCCGATGCAGGACCAACAGCAGCCTTACGGTGTCCTCATGGAGGCCTGTTACCAGAGCAAGCAGCTGCAGCGGCCAGAAGACAGCGAGTACCGCAAATCGTCTGGGAATATTTAGTTCATAATGCGGAACTCGTTGAGAATTCCAATGCAGAAGGGCACCAAGCCTTCCCAGGGGATCAAAATACTTGTTCACAATGTCAGATAGAAGTTAACAAGGCGGCTACGAAGAAGGAAGGGCTGAGGTAGATTATGCTTTTGAAGTTGTATTCTCGTTGCGGGTTAGCAATCTGTCATTGTAAAAGACTGTATATGCAAGTATTTTGATTTCTATTTAGGCTTCGGTCTTAACGGTGTGTATAAGTTGCTCACACATACGTGGTCTTTCAGGGCAACTAAATTTGAACAACGAGCCAAACACGAAGCACTTTATGGTGGTAAACCAACGGTTATTTTTCCTGGTTGTACATATTACTTAGTACCTACGGTTTGGCTCTCTAAGTGGCGTGCGTACTTAGGTGCGGCTGGCAAGAATGTCCTGGCAGTTGATGAACCAGTTGGACTTGAAGGTTTCATTCTGTCTCTTCTTTGTCAAAAGGTAATTAAATTTCCTGATGTTAGGTCTTTTACATTTCAACAGCGGTTGAAGGCTTCATCATGATATAATTTCATCATTTCTCAGTCAAGTTAATCCGCGGGGGCCGTCTTAATGTAAAGTTTTTTTGTTTCATTAGCACGAAGGAATGCTATTCAAGCCTCCTTCATTAACAAGAGGACGGCGTGGTGAGATTGTTCAACGAACGTTCAATGTAAGTAGTCGACGCAGATCTTTTTCTCACCCTTTTTTCAATTTAATGTTCTTACACTGATTTTGTTTAACATCGTATTTGATTTAAGGTAAACTATCTTAGAACAGTCTAAGGATGGAATCCAAAATGGCCTGCAGGATGATGTTTTTACAGTCATTTCGGAAGATGACTGGCATAACTTATGCCAACAGTGGGAGATAGATGCAGCAAAAGGCATTCGTGCAGAGGTTGAGCTGGGGAACCTTAGTACAGATATCAATAAGAATAATGCCTTTGAAGGGGAAGTATTGGCTGCCCAGACTCAGGAAACGAATGTGCCTGATGACAGCAATGGAAGAAAGCCAGAAATTATTCATCTTTCAGATGAAGACGATCGAGGTATTAAGTTCGAGAATGCCCCTATTTTACGGACTACGCCTGAGGTGAGTTCCTCACCAAAGAATTCTCTTTCAATGCAGAGTTTCTGTGGTGTTTTAAGGGTTAGAATTGATCCCCACATTTTCCGTACTTCCTTGTCTTTTGTATTCAATCTTTAACCTCTCACCTTTCAGGTTAGTGGTTGGTTATCATGAGACATAGGTAATATTTCTTTAGTTTGTGAAGATTTTTTTAATCCGGGAAAGCCATATTTTTTATTTTAAAGGTTCTTCGTAATTAATCCTTCATAAGTGTCACACATTTATTTGTGATTCAAAAATATAATTTAGTAATTTATACAATTATTTTTCTTTTCTGGATAATCTTATGTTGGCTATTTCTGCTTGAAGACACTGGGACCTCATCTGTTGACGTGGTCTGCAGGTATGTAGGGAATGTATAGAGGAGCGAGAAACTCACGAATTTCTTACTAAACTTAACTACACAAACAGAGAAATTTCAGTAACCTTGGTAAGGGGCAAAGAACCTCCACCTTCTCTGCTCCTCTCCCCGGGGAGTGAGGCTGAGCGACGTACTTCAAAGCGAGCAAGGCGAGCATCAGCTACTTCGAACGGCCGTATTCAGTTGAATGTGTCTGGGGATACTACAGTTTTTCAACTGAAGCTGCAAATTTGGGAATCTCTTGGGGTAGGATTTCCTCCTTAGTAACTTAAGTAGTTTACTACCAACCTAAGATATCAGAATTATGGACAACCTTTTGAAAGTTATGCTGCGATATGTCAGGGCTTTGCGGATCTTTTTAATTTTGGTGGGAGATGTGGAGGAGCTTTCTGTACTGCCTGTGACAGTTTCGTACGCCTGTTCAGTTTGTTATTTATTAAGCTCGAGGAAGATGGACTCAAGTTGACGTTACTTTCTAGAGACCAAGTAGCTAATGCCTCATTTGTTTCATTGAAATAAACATAGACTTGGACGTTGCAGGTGGTGAAGGACAATCAAAAGTTGCATATTGGTAAGGAGGAGCTTTTGGACGACAACGCCACTTTAGCAGATCTCAATATATTACCAGGAACTAACTTATGGGTTATGGATACTGGGCAGCACGAGAACCGTGACATTGCAGGTATGGGATTTCTATGATTTGTAGAGGGGTTGGAGGTCTACTAACTGAACGATTTTATGATTAGGGAGTTATTTAACTTGAGTGCACTGCAAATTACCAACCACATTGTGTCAACTTTCGGCTTGAAATACTCCAGATATAGAAATATTTCAGACTTGGTAGATAAGGTTTTAATTCACCTAAAACGTATCTTATTAAATGATGTGGTTCGTATTAGGTCTGGTCAAAGTACTTTGGCGTTATCCACCTGGCAATTCTTCAAACCTCAAACACTCATTTATCACCTTAACATGGGTCATTGCTACTCTTCAAAAGTACCCTGGCCCACTCCCATGACAGTTTCCAGTGTTATCATCAAGTAACATCAATTTTCTAATGTGCAGAGGAATTAACAACTGAAAAGCCTGGACGTATAGAAACTGAAGAAGGATTTCGAGGAACAAGGCTTCTCATGGGGGGCCTTCCTAGTCTTGTGGAGTCTCTGGCTGCTCATGCAGTCCAGAGTGGGTTTGTGCCTCCACTTTTTGATTCCAACAATGGCTCTGAGCCAATCAGAATGGCTGAGACATCTACCGCTGAAAACCAGAAAATGGATGCCAGTAACTCAAGGGTGGAAGTATCAGACGAACCGATGGACACTGAGCGACTAGAACCAGAGAGAGTTACTCAGCGCACTTCGGCTGAAGGCAGTTCAGATAGCCATCCTTCAGTGGTTGACGCTGCTGGACCAGATGAAAGACCTGATGTATCAACTGTGGACATGGAACTCATGGAGGAAGCAGGTATGATTTTCAGAGGTAGAAATTGATAGCACGCGAGTTGCAGCGGACTTACATTTGTGCTACTACGCACTTAGAGAGTAAAGTGGCAAGGCTAAGTTTTGACACAGGATTTAAGGTTTGAACACAGTGATGGGTTAAAGGTAGACATTCGTACACGTTATAGCATTGGCCTTAAAGAGTGCTGCGAGTGCTGCGAGAGCTGCAAGTTTTGGGTCTGCACAGCAACTCATGGAGTGAGATTGGGTTGAGATAATGCATACAAATGTAAAAGAAATTCTAGATTAATGAGCCACTAGCTCTAGCTATAGCTCTTGAATGAGCAGTTTTTTCACATGCAGGAAACTCCACTCGCAAGCAATATATTGGCTGCTGGTCACACTCACCTGGAGACTCAGCAAGTGTAGGCAATCCTATGGATGTAACCGTTTTGCTCGGCAGTAATTTACGCAATGGTCATGGAGATGGTTTAAGGAATGTAGAGAGCACTGCACCACACGTGAGCCCTGGTGATGAGGAAGAGGAAGAGGAAGAAGATGAAGCAGACGAAGAATGCCTTGGTATTAGAGTTTTGAATTGTGGCGTTACTGGTAAGAGCATTACTCGTGACGCTGAGACGGAAGCAGAGACTCATTTGATGGATTTCAAGGTTAGAGACTTTGATAGCTTATCTCAAACGCATCAAGCGTACGAGATTGAGATGTAAGGAGCTGCGGACCTAGGAGCGGATAGTACTGAGTACCAATCTGGATCTTATCAGCGGCCCATAGCCCTCAATTGAGGTGGCGGACTCATAATCCAGGTTCAATTTTTTTTAGTAAATTATTAAATTTTCTGAGCAGCCACTCTTGATTGTGATAGTGAAGGATTGTATTTTGTCCCTTTGGACTTTTTGTTATTGGTACCTGTTTAATTTTTCCATGCTCTACTCAGGTGCAATTGAAGTTGTTAGCTATGTGTCTATTTCTACTTACCCTTCCCTGACATGTCACGTAACTCGGGATTAAATTGTGCTCACTCAAATTTCTGAATACTACCATCTTCGATCATTGAACTTCATTAAGGTTTGTATGCAACGATAACCAGTACTTCTTGATTCAGAAGCCAAAAACAATAGAGTTATGCTATGATAGTAAAAGTCACTATTATGATAGTGAGAGAAATATTGCACCAGTACCTGAGTTCATTTACTTCCCTGGCATGCGAAGCTGGAGATTACTGTCCGGATGAAGAATGATTTACCATACCTCCAGCATGTGGGGCATACTCACCAGCCTGACCTTGTCTGTCACACGCCATGCTTTAAAACATTAATTATCACGCTCTTAGCATGAAGCGATCCAACTGAGTTTGTTGGGGCAAGCGAAGAGCATTGTTCCTGTGAGGTGAAGAATTCTAACTAGGACATACATATTCATTCTCCAAGCTTTCATGTTTATACAGGTGACCACCCATCTTCCGCAGTGGTGTTTGAAATTGATAATTGAACAAACGATTTCCTCCAATTACTGCACGATTACTATATGCGTTGCACAACTGCACGCAGTAAGTACCCTGGCAGGCATCTCTGTATTTGCCAACTATGTAATTGCGGGATTCATTCATTAGAAACTTGGTCTCAAATTCTCGCAAATTGTGTTTAGAGCGACAGAAATTTTGAGCATTTTGTCCAGAAACTAGTTCTGATAGGAACCTCACAACCCTACAACCAAAAGCAAAAACGCACGGACTGCGTCTCCATCCACGGCCAGTCAAGAGCAATGTGACCTCATCCTCCAGGAATTCACTTAAAGTGAAATGTAGTACTGATGAAGTTGTGTTTGGCAAGGTCCGTGCCTGCTATTCAACAGACTATTCCTTTTCTCAATCCTTTCTTCACTAGAGAACAGTACAAGTGACAAGCAAAATCCCACCTACTACTTTTTGCAAGCAATCAGTGAGAGCTCTCTCGAACGCTGACAATCAAACTGAAATTGTATGAGGATGAAAATATTGTATCATGAATCAATATTTCTGGCTTAACTTGATACAGCGGTTAATTTTTTTCACACTGAACTCTTATGTCACAAGTGCGCCTTTCAAGGATGGGTATCACACATACAACGTCCAGATGTGGAGGAAATGCCGCTGGCTCTCTCAACTGGAATGGTTGATGTCCTCAAACCCACCACTTGCAGAGAACTGAATTTCATTAATACGATGTTGTCCAGACTGAATTAAAGCCCTGTTCACCTTGTCATTATCCAACTGTTTACTCCGTAAGATGAAGCTAATATCGATGTGATACATTTACTCACAGAGATCAATGTTACAAGGGCAACGCTAGCTTGAATGAAAGAAGCTTGATCAGACGCTCAAGCTGCAAGACCTTAGCCCAGTGTTGTCTCTTTTGTTTTCGCAATATCGTAGCAAAGATGGTAAGAGAGGGGTCAAGAAGCTCACGAGGCATGTGAGTAGTCGTCTTGTTTATGATATCATCATGTTCGGCTGTATCAAGTGCAACCGAGGAGAGAAGTTCTAAGCCTTTTCCGGCATTGATGGTGTTTGGAGATTCCACTGTAGATGTGGGTATGAACACGTATTACCCCACGATTGTCAGAAGCAACTTCGCCCTATATGGACGTGGTTACCAAGGTGGCAAGTCAACGGGGAGGTTCACAGACGGCTGCACGGTAATGACTTCCTTGGTAAGAGTCAACGATTCCAAAAAGCAAAAATGTATCATATCCTCACATGAGCAACGAATATGTTGAATATGTTCGTGAGTTGAGTTGAACTAGAAGAAGATAAAGGAAGCCGAAGTTTTTTACTCTACACAACAACCACAGTTGGAGTTGCCTCAGTGAACGAAGCAAATTGAGTTCAGTGTGCTTTGTGTCTATCCTTCAGTTTGACTTCAGTGGACACTGGAACGATGCAAAACCGATCCGATTAAAAACTTCATAGCTTTATTGCTCACGAGTGCCTAACCTAACGGGGGGTGGTATTGTGTGGTCCTGGGTTTTAGCTGAGTCCCTTGGCTTAAGAAACTCCCAGATTCCATATTTGCACCCAAACGCGACAGGAGAGCAGATCTTGCAGGGAGTCAGCTTTGCATCCGGTGGCTCGGGCTACCTCAAGTCTACTTCTTCAGTACTGGTATTTCATTCCTTACTGACGTTGGAAGCATGATTTTACGGGTAACAGACAGCTTGGAACTGAGCACAAAGCATGCAAGCTAGCTGATAAATCCAAATTGATACAATGGTCCACATGTTTTTGGAAATCACTGGTCATTTCTTTTGACGGTACATCATAGTAACAGGTACGTCGTGTATTTGTTTGCAGAACGTCATCCCAGCTTTTCAACAGTTTGAGGTGTTTCTTAAATACAAGATCAAGATTTCTGACTTGGTTGGACGAGAAAAGGCTTCTTCATTTTTCTCCGAGGCACTCTATTTTATTTCCGCAGGGAGTAACGATTTCATCCTCAACTACCTACCCATCAATTCTGTGGTAAAGGAGCGTTACTCAAGGACTGACGGCAAACTTCGTGTTCTCCAACCAAACAGAGTTTTTGAAGGTAGGTGAAATACCTTACAGCTATCACAAGCTTCTTGAATCTTCAGTCCTTTTTTGTGAGATTTGGACACATGTTTCATATCTCAGAATCTGCTAGGTTCCGAAATTTACAGCTTGGTAAAGCCTTGTTCCCTGCTGCAATTGTATTATCAGGGAGGGCGAAACGTGCTTTTGGTCGGGTTTCCTCCTATTGGGTGTCTTCCTGCACAGATCACTCTCTTTGGAAGCGTGGGACAGAAAGGATGTGTGGAGGACTTGAACCAGATTTCCATTGCATACAATAATCGACTGAAAGCCGCAATTCCTAAACTGGAATCAAGCTTGCCTGGGTTACGACTATTGTATGGAGATGCGTACACATACATCTATGAAGCATTCAACAATCCCTCTAAATATGGTGAACATCCATCCCAGCATCAGTCCTCTCCAGATGACGCAATAGGTTGCCTTTCCCTTGACATAAATCTTCCAACAAGAAGCAACCAAATGTGACTAAATCAGAAATTTTCTTATAAGTGAGATCGGTTTCATTCACAGGATATTCTCAAACTAGGAGAGGTTGTTGCGGATCGGGGTTAATCGCAACTGTGGAATTCTGCAATGCTCTCACTGTAGGGACGTGTTCGGACTCCTCGACGTATATGCTCTTTGACTCGTTGCACCCCACAGAACCAGTGTATAAAGCTATTGCAAAGTTATTTTTTAACGGCATCGTCGAATACTTCGGAGTCCCGAAGAACTGAGGTCAAACAAAAAAATTCGGTTACATGTTTGTAATGTAATACAATGAGACAGCGATTTACCCTCAAGCTAGCGTTCGAATCTGATAGGCTCCGTGTGTTACCATGAGAAGCTCGCGTTGGGTGTCTTTCAACACTAAAAAAGTGTCTGAGTTGCTCTTAACTTTCCTGGCCAGCATGCTCTGAAATCATCACTAGAGTCCCTTACCCATAGAATACAATGAAAATGGTATACACGAGGCGATTTCATAAGAACCGAACAACTGTGAGCAACTCAAAGTTGACTGTTAAACGGTCACCTAGTTGTTTGACGATCTTATCTCAGCAAGAAAATTTTCTATGCTCCTTTGCACTGATCCGTCTTTAGAAACTGCTTCCTTTAACTGCTCACGCAGCTTCCCCACATTCGCTCTAACTTCTCCCTCAGGTTCGGTCATCAATTGCCGAACAGCTCGCGCCACCTCCTCTCTCGATACAAAAGCATTCGGTCCTTTATGCACTTCGAGTGCAGTCTTGGCTTCATCAACAAGAAACCTACCATTTGACACATCAAGGAATCAGAGACTAGGTCAACAACGGCTGACGATAATGCATTCAGAAATGACCTATAATATAACAGACACTACGTTCTCTGCCAACGCTCTGGAACTAGGAGCTTGGGATTTGAATATGACTGGCAACGGTAGCTAACATACCTGCAATTTAGCTTCTGATCTGCTTGAATTGGCCACCCCAAGAGAGGCACGCCTCGGCAGATGCTCTCAAAAGTGGAGTTCCACCCGCAATGAGAGAGAAAACCACATACAGCCCGATGAGACAGGACGTCGAACTGGTTTACCCACTCAGATTGCACAAATCCAGTTGAAAGTCTTTGCTCCTCGAAGCTTTTCGTAAGCAGGGGGAGTATTTCATCGGCGTCCTCAGAAGCGGTAGGCCGAATTACCAGGAGGAATCGATGACTGCTTGCTTCCAGGCCTAATATTAATTCACGTATTTGTTGAATGGATAAAGAGGCCAAACTTCCAAAACTCACGAAAATCACTGAATCTTTTGGCTGCATGTCTAACCATTTCAAGTAGGGAGCTTCAGGTTCCACTGAGCTACATCGCTTCACGGTTGGACCAGACCTCAATAGCTCCAAATATGAGTCATGTACCAAAGGCCCAACTGGAAAGACGCTCCTTCCATTAGGCCCCTGCAGATCATGATATCAGAGGTCTGACTAATTTAGAAGCCTAATCTACTCCAAGCGGAAGTTTGTAAACAAGAGTGCCAAACATCAACACTGTCAAGTGATTACAAAACGAAGTGCAGCGAGAATCTGAAAAGTCACACAGAATGGTACAAGGAACAGGGTTAAGCTTCACATCTTAGACGTCACCTGAGAGTGTGCACGCCGATAAGGATGAGATCGAAGAGAATCGATACAAGAGGGCTCCAGCTCGTAGAATGAATTGATAAAGCACCCCGGAGCTTCCACAGCGGGCTGGCAACAGCCGTAGACGTATTCTGTGTACATGTGTAGGCCGGATGCAGTTTGAACGGCTGGAGATAGGTCGCCACACCTAGTGGGCTGAAGTCCAGGTATATGTACAAGCTCAGATGTTTTGGAGGGTTCCACCGGCAGTATTCCTTGAGCTGCAAGCTCGGGCATATAGAGCAAGGCTGCCATAACCTTGCCCATCGATGCGCATATGACGTATCTTGGTATGCCAAACTTGTCCGCCACGTCCTGCCGAAATAAGAATGTCCGATTTTCAAATGCAGCTGTGGTGGCAAGGGGAGAATTTCCTGCTGTGCTTCTGTAGATGCAAGCTTAAGCCTCTGTCCTATGTTGGAACTTAAACACGCCGGAAGTATTAGAGCAAAAAACAGGAATCTAAGACATTGGTGGCAAGTTTCGACTAACCTGTGTCCACCCTAGAAAAATGTCGCTCAAAATGCATGTCAGGGGAGGTGATTCAGTGTCTGCATTAAGCCTCTCAACCAACTGCTCCGTCTCGCCTTGTACTCTCTTCACAACGTCAAAATATGGCAAGTTCGTATTGACAGGGTGGTCAGCAGGACGAACACCCAAATTCACAACTGTCATGTCCTCTGCTCGGCAAATGTCGAGGAAATCTTGTGCCATGTTGTCGAAAATATTTCCCACAGTGATGCGGACTCCATATGGCAAAAACATTCGAGCCAACTGAAGTGTTGCCAAGTTGTGCCCCCTAGCAGGATATGGAATCACCAAAAGATGGCACCCGGACTTCTGGCCTTCAACCGGAGCAGCGACAGCATCCCCATTAGCAGCCATCTTCTTGGTCTTCGAAGGATGCCTAAACGTTTTGAAACCATCCGGTGATCAGTTTAGCAGACGAGAACAGAATTATCGTAGCCTAGCGAGTCGTTTTGCGATTTCCTTAGCGACACTAGCTCCGCAAGATAATCATTCATTGCAAGAGGCAGAGACACAGGCACATTAAGATGCCTATTCAATAACACCAGAACCTAATTGAATATTGGCTCCAGCAACCGACTCAATCTATTCTAGCACTTTGCATCTTCACCCACCGCTCTGTGGTTGCAGTGAAAACAGAGCTTCCGACTGATCACCTCCTGCATCTGCTAATTCAGTCTACTCTAGTGATCAGAACCGCAAAAGATCTCCTACATGTTGTCCCCCGTAATCGTGGATGCGAAGTTAACATTTAATCTCAAATATTAAAACCCAATCTCTCGCAAAAGTGGCACCCAATTCACGTCTACAAACTCAGCTAACGTATCCTTCTACAAGATGCACCCAAACCCAGTTCGTCCAAAACAAGTGACTGCGCATATAATATCAAACTTACAACTGTAAGTATGGCTGTAGAGTCTCTCCAGCACGAGAGTAAATTGTTGCGTCACTCAACTGAATGCGCGCGGAGTTTCGCACAATTAATCCTCAGCCTTGTGAAACAATCGCATGAGTGAATAATCTCCTGCCTGTCTGCCTTCCACAAAAGACCGACACTCCCACGCACTGTCTCGCAGGCCTGCTCCGTGAGCACATATCTGCACTGTACCACAGGGAAGTTCTTCAATCATCGGCCTGGCTATGAAGTCAAACCTGGTGGCTGCAAGGGAATTGTACTCGATTGTGTGCCTTCGTCGCAAAAGTGGACGCCATGGCGTGTTAGAAGTTTCGCAATTGAATAGGAACTATATCTCTGTTGAGAACATTAAATGTAGCCGGCTCTCTCCATAATATTTACTGTAGACTACAGTAAATACTGTAGCTATAGTATTTAGAGTCTAGTGGAGAAGTATTGTTTATCTTCTTCTCTTTTCTCTTCTTGTATATGAGACACAACCAGATCAATAGATTTTTTGTGTGTGAAGCTCTCTCTCCTTAGAAACCCTCTTGTGTGTATGACTTACTACTACTCTTGTGTGTGTATGACTTACTATTACTCTTGTGTCTTTCTAAACATTCTCAACACGTTATCAGCACGACTCCCTTCTACACACTATCACAATTTCTTTTGCTCTAGTCTTTGACTCTTCAAACCTATTGCTACCCTTGCTCAGTGTTTGCCTCATGATCTTGTTCTTCTTGTTGGCCCCTCCCACATTAGCTGCTTGCTTAGAGCACTTGTTCCACTCTCTGCCCTGCTTGTTTAGAATACTTCCAGCCCAACTCCACCTGCATACCTACCGCCAAACTGCTGTCGAGCCCGCCACTGCCGCCGCTACCACCCTGTCACCGTTGACGCTGCCACCCGCCACCGTCATCGCCCTAACGTCGTTGTTGCTGCCGTTGCCCGTCGCTGCCACCCTGTCGCCCTGTCGCCTTATCGCTGCACCATCTTATTGTTGTTTTTCTGCCTTAATCTACAATCTCTCCTTAAAAAAAAAAAAAAAAAAAAAAAAATGATATATTTTTGTTTTTTCAAGTTCAAGTTTATCATTTTATTTGACTTTATATTTTAAGGTACGTTTTATTCAACTTTTCTACTTGATCTTGTATTTTCTTTACAGATTTATTTATAATGAGTGCTTCAACATCTTCAATTGTTTCTACTATGGTTCCAACTATTACCAATGCATCCCAACATTTTCAAGCTCTTTTATTTCCACCATTGACTATGCATGGAAACAATTATCTATTATGGACAAAAATGGCAAAAACAAATTTATTTGCAGAAAAACTCTTGGATGCCATTATGTTTAAAGAATCTCCTACAATAAGTATTTCTATACCTCTTGCTATTTGTTGGAAAGCACTTCTTCTCCTTCGTCGTCATCTTGTACCTGCATTATAACATCAATATTTGGAAATGGAAGATCCTGCAGAACTTTGGAAGAATCTTAAATCTAGGTTTGATCATCAAACGACCATTTTTCTTCCACATGCACGTCATAATTGGATACATTTACGTGTCTTGGATTTTCCAAATTTAAATACTTTCAATAGTGAAATGTATAGTATTGTCTCACAATTACGATTATGTGGACAAAGCATTTCTAAAGAAGAAATGATTGAAAAAACTCTCTCTACATTTCCTCATGTATCTGCTGTGCTTGCACAACAATACAGGAATATGAAATTTCAAAGTCATTCTGATCTCATGTCCTATCTACTTCTTGCGGAGAAGCAAAATGAACTACTCTTACACAATGCGGAAGCTCGTCCTATTAGAACTATAGTTCCAGAATCTCATGCACTTAATATTTCAAAGTCTAAGAAAAAATTATATAAACATGGGAAACGTGCTCATAAGTATCAAGGTAGTCATAGTCAAGACCATTTCTACCCATATGGAAAAAATAAATGTTCTACTATTAATTATAATAGAAAACAAAAATTAAAGATGCATTCTTGCCATAAGTGTGGAATGATTGGACATTTAGCACATGCATGCCGTACTTCAAAATATTTTATTAAAATGTTTCAAGAAAATAAGAAATTGCGAGTTAAGGCTTGTGAAGTTTATACCATGGATGGGTCCATGGATTCAATTGGTGTTGATGACTTAGAGGCTTATATGAATGATAGAACCTCTGATGATGAATCAAATGATGCACTCATTGATTCTACAACAACACGTACTATTTTACAAGATAGATGATTTTTTATTGAAAAATCTTCAACTTGGCAAATTAAACATATGATGACTATGGCTGGAGCAAATGCGTTTTGTTTCTAAGAAGGTACAACGATGGTAAAATTACCTACGAGTTCCATCATAAAATGTAAACATGCGATGTTTACACCCTCAGTACCTTAGAATCTGATCAACTACCGAGATGTGTGTATTAATCGTTATCACCTCTCGACCGCCACTTTAAATAGAAAAGAGGTTTTGATTCTTGCAAAGAACCATAAAGTTGTTAAAAAAGCTTTTGCTACAGAAAATGGTTTATATCGAATTGTGATTCGGTCTCCTATTATATTTAATTTTGCATCATCTATCTCAAAGAGTCATGCTTCTCTCTGGCATGGACGATTGGGACATCTAAGATCCACATTATTTAGAAAGATCATTCCATGTATAACTTGGCATAATTCAAAGCTTGTAGATGTAGACTCTATGGAATTATGTCGTGCATGCATGCAAGGTAAAATGATTACTCGGCCTTCAATTTGGAAACTTCCACAAGAATTACCACCAATGCTTGAAAGATTGCATGGTGATATTTGTGGTCCTATTAATCCAATATCAAGACCATTTCGTTATTTTTTGGTCCTTGTTGATGCATTAGGTAAACAATCACATGTTTCATTATTATCAACTCAAAACATGGTGTTTGCCAATCTTATATTTATGCTTATTCGCTTTCAGGCATATTTTCCTGATTATGCTATAAAAACATTGCGTATGGATAATGCAAAAGAATTCACATCAAAGTCTTTTGAAGACTAATTTACTGCAACAGAAATGGAGTTGACATATTGTGTTCCATGTGAACATGCTCAAAATGGACTTGCAGAGTCATTTATAAAGCGTATATAACTCATTACCCAGCCACTCTTCCTTCATGCAAATCTACCTACATCTATGTGGGGCCATACAGTTTTACATGCTGCAGCATTAATATGCCTCTATCCTTCTGTCACGGACATACATATAATTACCTATATGAATAGATAAAAGTATGTAAAAGTAGGTTAATTGTGTAATATCTTCTAGAGAAGCTTCTTAGAAGCTTCATAGATGCTGCTTTGACTTTATAGGAGTCTATAGTTGACTTTTAGGTTAGAAACTTGGTCAACAAGTTAGCCATGTGCCACGCATGTTGGAAGCTTAAAGAACAAGCTAACTACGTGGTCCATCCATAGAAAACTTGCCTTGCAAGCAAAGGCATGTGGCCTAGAAAGTCAACATATATTGGAGGTCTTATAGAACATCGCCACGTGGCTTCTAGTTAGATAGTATATATAGAGGCAAGAGTGAAGCCCTCTTCACTCTTGTCAACTCCTTTCTTGCTTCTAGTCTAGTTTCAAGGGTCTCTAATTTTCTTGTATTTTGGCAATAGCCATTCCAGTTTCTTTCTTAATATACATATTTCTATTTTGTCCTATTTCTTTTTGAGAAAAGTCTCACTTACTCTTTAGCTTTCATCGAGTTCTTGTCCCTGACAGATTGACAAGAGTACACTTACAATATCAGAGCTTTGTCTTTTCTTGATTAAGAGTGGATTACCCCTTTTTCTTGATAAGACATAAGCGCATTAGAAGTTGCGGATTACCCTCTTTTAAACTGATATTGTTCTTAGTATTTTCTTTGTTATCAATTCCTCTCTTCTATTTATTTTGAGCGTTGTTAGACATCTTCTCTTTTCTAAGTGCTACTATGGCAGAGCTTGTTGAAATGAAGAGTGCAATGGCACAGATGCAAGAACAATTGAGGGAGTTAATGCTTGCGATGCATCAACTCAATTTACCACCACAAGGAGCAACAAGAATAGTAGGAAGTGGAGATATAGAGATGATTGGGGCTGCTTCAACATCTGCACCAAACCATGTCCCTTCTCCCAGAATGGAACACCCTTCGAGTGTTAGAGAACCGAGAGTTGCCTTGCCCGAGAAGTTTGATGGTACCAGATCCAAGTTTCGAGGATTCATCAATCAGGTCCAACTAGTGATTGAACTTCAACCCCAGAGCTATCCAACTCCAGGGTCACAAGTAAGATTCATTGGTACACTTCTTTCAGGTTCAGCATTGTCATGGTTTTCATCTTTTCTTGAACGACGAGATCCAATATTGGATAATCTGGAGGCTTTTTTGGCGGAGTTTCGATCCATGTTTGGAGAACATGATGCAATTCGTGTTGCAACCAACAAGATCCGTATTTTGCGACAAGGCAATCGATCAGTAACATTATATGCTTTGCAATTTCGACAACTTGCAACTGATATCAAGTGGGATGATGCCGCACTTGTGAGTCAATTTCTCTACGGATTACAATATGAGGTAAAGAAATTGATGCTTAATTTACCTGATCCTCAAACATTGAGTCAAGCAATTGACTTTGCTGTGAAGTGCGACAATCGACTTTTTGAATTTCGATCCGAGAGTCGCACAAGTGGGCCTCAACGTTACTACAATTCAATGGCAACACCGACGTCTCCTCAACACATACCTTCGGAAGTAGAGGATATGCAAATTGATGCGGTACGTTTCAAACCTCTTACTGAGCAAGAAAAGTCTCGTCGTCGACAAGAAGGATTGTGCTTATATTGTGGAGAACCTAAGCACACTGCTCAACATTGTCCAAAGAAGCGACGTAACTACAAAATGAGGAGTACGGCTGTCAAAGAAGACAACATGTCGGAAAACGAGTACGTCCAGCTACAATAGGGACCGTGCGGCTGGAATCTTGTACAACTTCTAATAAAGGTCCTATCCTCTCCTCAAAACCATCTCCTTGTTTTATAATAGATGTGCGTTTAGGACCTAATAATTACAAAGCCTCTGCCTTGGTAGATTCAGGAGCCTCATCTTGTTTTTTAGATGAAGAATTTGCTAGATGTCATAGAATATCATTAATACAAAAAACTAAACCTGTACACGTAGAAGTCATAGATGGTCGTCCGTTGTCTTCTGGAGATGTAACTCACGAAACACTTCCTGTAGATGTAGTAATAAATGGTCATAGTAGTTGCGTAATTTTTAATATAATTAGATCTCCCTC